AGGGCTTTGCCTGAAACAACATGGCCTGTGGCTACAAGACATTGACAGCTTACGAATCAGCAAAGACAGCGTGTCAGAGGAGAAAATCAAGGACATGTCTTCTTGGCTTCCTGCTATGTCTGTGGTCCCCACCAGGGCAAGGTGGCCATTCCATGTGCTGACCTCCAGGCCTATTCCCAGTCCTCTTCGGTCTTCCAGGGGACAACATTCCATTAAATTGAAGCAGGAGACTACGCCATGTGGCATCAAGGAAGCCGAGATGAGCACCACAACTGGTTCCACAGGTTCCATGGTGAAGCCTGATGTGATTGACAGTAAGACCTGGCGTGCTGAGGTTGACAAAGAATTGCAAGCAGTGAAGGTCGAAATCTCACAAGATTCACAATCATTGGTGAGTGCCGCTACAGAGAGACAGGAAAGTGTACGAAGCAAGAGGGCCTTGAAAAGGCATCAAGATCAAGCAAAACAGATCGTCGTTGCCAGTGGCCTTTGTTTCAACACACACTTTCAAAAGGCTCACTCAATGAGACTTCCCCAGGGACACTGGGCAAAATTCCTGGACGCAGTGACGGGTACCCTTGGGGATGACTTGGATTGCCAGCATTGTCGAGACTTGCTTCGTCGCTTTGACATTGAGAAACGCCGAAGTGATATCTTGCAGAAGACAGATGACCAGTGTAGGCAAGAGCCTGCTGCTGATCCTGTGCCCATGACCCAGCCTGCAGAGCCAGAAATACCCAATGAACAATGTGTTGCTCTCGTTCCATTCGAGAATCAGTCATCAGAGCCAGCTTACAAGAAGCGCCGTGGACGACCAAGGAAAGGTGAGGTACGAGAGTTCAACATATTAGATTTTCTGGAAACAGAGCGGGTTGGACTATACAGGATATTGTCACGAGACGAGGCCTGTTATTTTTACTGTTATTTTTTTATATATTTTTTCCTACTAGTTATTGTGATCTTGGATACCTGTGGAATAATATAGTTTTATTTTGCATATACCTTACCTTTTGAATATATATTGTATTATAGTGTTAATATTTTTTTAGTTAATTTATGAATATTTTATTCCTCAAGTTTTGTTGATGTGAAAGACCTCTAGAATAGTTAGTTGATTTTACTCTAAATCATAAAACCCAACAACAATCAATGATGTTTGCAAGCTTCCTGTTCACTCTACAAATGTTTCAGTGGTTAGTGTCATGTCAGAGACCTTTGGAATATATATTTAGTTTTCAATCAGTTGACCGTCAGGTGGAGCAACGTATGCCAAAGAGCAGATTGTCAGATGCGACAGTAGATCTTGAGATGCGCTTTCGGCCCACTCAGTGCCTTCTATGTGGAACCTACTTTCATTTGCCTCATTTGACGAATCGGGTGGCCTTGCTCCTCAGCAGTATTCAACATGTTTTTGTTTGAAAACCCTTTTATGAAGCTTTTGTTACTATTTGTTTTATAATGTTTTATAAATATGTTTGTTTAAAGCCATGTTCTGCAGCGCTCCCTGGCAGGGACAGACACGAGCAATCCAAGTATCACTTGAGGGCGGTGCATTCTGAAGCAAATGAAGAGTTGCCAGTGTGCAAGGGTCTCTCATTGAACCTAGTGGAAGCACACAAGACTCTTCTTGGTGATCCATCTGTTCGTCCAATTCTGGACGTTTGGATTAGCAGTGGTTGCATTCAGGTTGTACAATCCGCCCTTGAGTCATTCCAGGTGTCCAGAAGCACTCTTCCCAATGGCGAGGAGAATGTGGTGATTCAAGATCAGGGTTGTTTGAAGGAGCCTGGATTATGCATCAGGGGATGCTCAGCATGCCAGAAGTGTTTTGGTGCTGCTGACAGAAAGAAGGCTTGGATGCTAATCCGTGAATGGTCTTTGCGCATTTGCATGGTGGATCTTTGTCATCTCTCAATAGGTGCAGACACCAAGGCTCGCAGGTCTCAATGTGATTTCATCAAAGAACATTTTCCTGAGAGTCGAAGCGACGATTTGGAATCAATGTCTTATCCAGATTTGCTGGCACGATGCAAAATGTCCTTCACGAGAATTCCTACATGCAAGCAAAGCAGTTCATTGTCTGCCTTTATCACACGTTCTTTGAAGCATTTGCAGCCTCGCATGATGGTGGGCGTCAGTGACGATGTGAAGAAGCAGGTTCAGGAGTACATCACAGCTCTTGAGAGCAGACAGATCCTGGAGCACGAATCAAAAGCGATGCAAATCATCGCAAGTGGTGCAATGAGGGCCGACGAAGTGGGGAGAGCCTTAGTCACCAACTTGCTTCAGAAAGCTGACCGTATTAATAGAGGGCATACTCAGCGATGTGGCAGCAAACTGGCTCCTAGCAACCTACAGGGAATTGCACAATTAGGTTGGATGCTGGGCGGAGCTCTCCGCAATCCAGAGCTACAGCGTGCTTTCGGGATCAGCAGGCTTGGAGCCCAAGAAACTGCACCTCCAATGAGTTCACCGCTGTTGCCCAAATTCTTCTGCGCAGAAGGCTTTGCACTTCAGGAGAGTGTCAGTGTTGCCATGCAGCTGTTGCATCAGATTACTGCACCTGAGCGCAAAGGATATATGCTTTGTCGCGACGAAGTTGCACTGTGCAAATCATTTAATATGATTTATGGAATGAGCCACTTGGAAACAAACAATATATTGTTTATTTATTTTTATTTATGTTTATTTATGTGTCGTGTTTCTTCAAGAATTTGTAGTCAACATTTATGAGTCATAGAAAAAATGAAATAAAATAAAATAAACAAACTGGCACAGCCCAGGCGAAGATGATCCCAAAGCTGGTTTTGTGGTGGGTGGCAAGCACCCAGGAAAGAGCTTCCTTCCGGCTTCAGAATCTCCAAAATCAGCGCTTCCAAGGGAGGACCTCGCTCAAGTACACTGCTGCACAATTGTGAAGAATATCGACTGCCGCTCAGGTATGTTTCAGATACAGCATCTGCCAAGGCTTCGAATGACCACCGCCGAAGATGAAATGATCGAATTCGGCAAGGTGTTGCAAAGCTGTGTGGTATCACAGGATGGGTGTCCGCCAATTTCTGTGGCCATGGATTGTCACGGCAGCTTTAACTCCCTGCACATGCTGTTCCTAGGGCTTCTGAAGCCGAGCGAGTACTCTCATGTCCCCATGCTGGGTGATTGCCGGAGATCGGAGAAGGCGTTGAAAGCTCCTCTATGGTGCTTTCGGCATATCATCTACCTCTCTGAAGAGAAGCCAATTTTCGGGTGTGCAGACCCCAAGCACATCCTGAAAGCTGTTTGTCGCAGTCTGAGGACCTCTTCACGGACACTCCAGATGTTGCTTGCAATATAGTGGGTGGAGGAACGTGATGCAGTGGGATGTGGAACGTGTGGCAAGTATTCCATGGGTCTGTGTCATGTGTAATACTGATGGAATCATTTGAGAAGAAAATCCAAAATATTACAAACATAATTTTATATGTGTTGAGGAAACCCACATAAATTGTTCTGGAAGTAATTGACATCAGGACAACATACAGAATAGTTTTATTTGCTCGCAGGCATTTGTTGGTCCAGAAGTGCAAAGCTGTTTCTACAATAGCTCCACCCCGGGCAGTAATCAGCATGAGCGATAGTGATTCCTGGGAGATTCTGTCAGACTCAAGCGTGGAGGACACGAATCCTGATACCTCGACAGCTCATGTGGCTAGCGCAGGAGCAGGCGCAGGAGCAGGACCGGCTGTCTCGCATGATGCAATCCACAATCCTTCAGGTGGTTCCATCAGTGCATCTGCAATTGACAGCGCAGAGCCTCCTACATCACCACGTTCTATGCTAAATCCATTAGTGAGGATGGTCCAGGTGCCGAACAAACCTGCAGATCTTTTTCGATTCCGCTTGGCCTTGGCAGATGCCCTGCGCGAGTGGCGCAAGGGACCCATCAATCATCGTCGTGCAGTAGATCCATTTGTTGCTGCCAAGGAAGAGTTCATCCGATTGAAGCTTCTCATGCACACACGAGGCTGGAAGGTCGTGAACAAGCATGGGAAACGTGGTTGGGAACGCCTGCCACGCACAAGCAACATTGTGGTGGACACGAATTGAGATGAGCTTCAATTGTTCTTGAGGGACCGATTTTATAGGATCGTCTGCGCTGAAGCAGTCTTACCTTGTTGATATTATATGCATTTCATTTTCTTTTGGTGCATATTTATTTTCACAGACAGAAGACGCAGCGATTGTCCTTAAAGCTTTTCTGCAAAGTGCACTGCAAGATTATGCCAGTGTCCAGACCGACCATAGACAAACACATAATTATATCAAGTCTTCTATTGTCAATAGGCATTGATAGTAGATAGGTTGTCGTTGAATCAAATTGTTTGGATCTGGCTGTGCCTTTGCTCTGACTTATCATTAGTATGTGTCACAGATGTGCAGCACATGTGGTTTGTTGCTGCATTGAACATCTTTAATAGATGATCTTTTCTGCGACTATGTTCCAATGCAATGTCATGCAATGTCCTATTTAATTTAGATCAATCCACCACAACTGCACAGGGTGAAAACATGTGAAAGCAATCAAAGGCTCTCAGTGTGGAAACGATCGTATGTTGATGTTGTTTTTTTGTTTTTGTGCGTATGTCTGTATATGTTTTGATCTGTTGAAAAGCCTTGATGAAACATGTTTTTCCTTGCCAAGGTTTGGCATGCATGTCGAAATGGGGACGATTGCATATGCAGGATGCCCAAACTCATCTGTGCGAGGAAAGGATCTTCACAGCGACAAAGAAGCTTGCAGGCTTCTAAATCCAGGATACTTCAAGCAGAATATGTGGGACAGTCATGGGTGGAGTGTATTCCAGTTTTTTTGGAAATACTTATGTGTATATTTTTTTTTCATTAGATTATGTGTCTTAGAATATTGTGTTTTAAAAAAACACAACAACAACATCAACAACAACACCATAGCTTGGGTCAGGTTCTGGAACTCGCTTGCTTTTGCTGGATGGATTGGATCTATGGGCTACACCACTAAAGAGCTCTTCAGCAATTGCCTCAGTGCATACTATGTGGCCCTCATCAACACGTGGTATGCATGGGGCATTCGTGGCAAGAAGTTTCCATTGCTGTGGCTACCTCTCACAACCCTCCGGAATGTCGTCCGGATGCTGGCCAACTTGGCCCTCAGGCTTCATGCATGGCCTGAAGACATCACCTGTGAGCCTGCAATGACGATGGAAGACACAATAGAATACTGGTTTGGATTGTTGAAGTCATGGAAGAAGGGCGTGAACGGGACTTCGACCACCGCCAATGCCCTGATGGCAGCACAGCTTCTCCATCTTCGCAATTCGACTCACCGCACCCAGGCTGGCTACGACCATTGCTTTCTTGGAAAGACAACTCATATAGTTTGATATACTTGACTCATATGTTCAAGGCATATGTCATTGGTCATGTGTGTGTGTGTGTTTTTGTAGTTTAATAGTCTGCCAGATGTGCCAGACCCCTGGAATAATTGCTGCCCCCCTGCACAAAGGCCTGGGAGAGACCTCTCTGTCCATCTCTGTCCTGGACCATAGGGTGTTTCCCCACTAAAGAACCCTTCAGCCTGAGAACCTTTGCTGGCTCCTGCCTCCTTTGGACCTTTCAGAGTCATTGTCCCCACCCTTCCCTCTCGACATCTTCCCTCCCTGCATCCTTGGGGGGGAATGTTTGTTTTAGGCAGTCTGCCAGATGTGCCAGACCCCTGGAATAATTATTGCCCCCTGCACAGAGGCCTGGGAGAGACCTCTCTGTCCATCTCTGTCCTGGACCATAGGGTGTTTCCCCACTAAAGAACCCTTCAGCCTGAGAACCTTTGCTGGCTCCTGCCTCCTTTGGACCTTTCAGAGTCATTGTCCCCACCCTTCCCTCTCGACATCTTCCCTCCCTGCATCCTTGGGAGGGGATAATTGTTTTAGGTAGTCTGCTAGATGTGCCAGACCCCTGGATTTGTTTTTTCTCCTACACAATAACCTCTCTGTGCTGGAACCACAGGTGGTTTTATATTGTTTCAGGCAGATCTTCACTTGTGCTAAACCTTTGAACCAATTTCTGCATAGATGATGAGCAACACATTGCGGCATGGACAGGCCCAAACTGAAAGTGTTTGTTCAGGGTAGACTCTCCAAGGGTAGACCGCCAACTACCACAGACGCCATGTTGCGTAGTCTGTTGCATTGGATGAACATCATCATTGTGCTTGGTGTGGGACCGTTTGTAGCTTGGAAAAATAATAACGATTCTACCTATTGTTTGACATTTTTTTTGAGAGAGAGAACGAGTTTACTTTTTCAAAATATCAATATATAATTGAATTATTTTTGTTTTTGTTTGGAATAATCCAAGGATTTGAGGGATGATACCACCGCATCGATCCCAAACGATGAATGGTTCTTTGCTACTCAACATTGGGATAGCATATGCAAGTATGTGGATTCCTGGAAGGGATGTTGCGATTTGCACGCTGTAGATGTCTTCAGTGCGAGTCAGAACGTGGCCAAATCCTTCAAGCGACGTGGATTTAGATCCTGTCCATGGGATATCAAGTTGTCGCTTGATATGGACATAGTTTGCAAAGATGGTTTCTTTAACCTTCTGAACCTGTGCATGAGATTGATTCTCGAAGCCAATATATGTGTATTTATGTGTCTTGTTGATCAAGTTTTTTCCCCCTAGTTACACAGGCAACCCAGGTTGTTTCTGACATGAATTTGTTTGCTCAGGATGAACTATGGACTCCTGGTTGCTGGACCACCGTGCTCGCTATTTGTGTGGTTGTGCTGCAGCGTTCATCGCCGACATGTTGATGGAGTTCGAGGAAACGAACAGAACCCCAAGGTTTTGTTGGCAAACACAATCACCGAAAATCTAGTTGCTTAGTGTTAATTATTTTTCATTTTTATATATATATACATGTTTTTTTATATTTTACAGTTGTGTTTTTTAATATATATATATCTATATATATTTTTGTTTCATTAATGTAGTGGTGATTAGTTTTGATGATCAAAAACTTGTTGACTATGTTTTGGATTGTTTAGGTTTGTTTTTGGTTTTGTGCACCAGCACCAGGCTGTTTGCCTACGCGCTGTGGCTCGAATCAAAATTCTACAGATACTCATTGAGCAACCCAGATCCAGTTGTATGTTCGATTTGCCTATTTGGATTGCTTTGACCGATGAATTTTGCCTGGACAAGATCCCAACATATATGGGAGCTTTCGGACACTTTATGATGAAACCATCGACACTTCTTGGAAACATGATCGAGATCAATCAGTTACTTTGTATGATTTGAATGTTTGTTTTTATGTGTTTTTGTTTGTTTGTTTAACCTCTATGAATATGTGTTTGCCTTATGATCTTGAAGCATTGGATCAGGCTTCGGCGCACACCAAAGAAGAAACAGATGGAGAAGCTCCGGCTGAAAGTGAAAAACAACCGACAAAAGCTGGAAAAAAAAATGGGCAGGAAATTGCAGTTGGTCAAGAAGTGTAAGGGAGGAGTCTGCGGTGGACGTGACTTGCCCCTTAGTGCTGCATACACAGCTGAATTTTGTCGTGCTGTGTTCAATGCTTGGATTGCAGGATGGGTCATGATGGCAAAGCCTTGATCCACCTCATGTCCTTCAAATTTAAAAGACCAACGGCGCACAAATGTGCCTAATGATTCGGGAAGGTTTCGTGAGTGTGACTGATGTGCTTTGTGGGAGGCATCAAAGCCTCTGAGCTATGTTGCTTGAATGGTTGAAGTGTAGCTCAGAGAAAAAAAAACGTAATAAATGTTTTCGCTCGCCACTCTGTCAGGTTGACACGAGAGTGAGAGAGAGAGAGAGAGAGTAAGAGAGAATAAGAGAGATACTAGAGGTTTCCAATTGTTCATAAAGTTTTCATTTACATATTTAAGAGTTTTCATACACAGAGGGTTTTTCTATGTTTTTTTTCTTTGTTTCTCTTTGTTACAGGCCTCATCGAGCAGAAAAATCAGTGCAGCAGACCGATCTGAGTTTGCTGCTTTGGCACGCCAAGCCTTTGATGATGCTGCTACATTTGCCTCTTGCTGCCTTGTGGACTGCTCTGCCTCTGCCATCAAGAGCAATGTAGAGGAGTGGTACAATGAGACGGGAAAGGCACTGCTGATTGGAGATGCATCTATCTCTGAGGTGGTGGATGACGAACCTGATGATCTACCGGAGTTGCAGGAGAAATATGTGTGAATAAAATTATTTATGTTTGTTGTAGATATTTGTGTTCTAATGTTTTATATTGTTTACACATCTGGGAGATAGGAGATAATTCAGATTAATTTGTTGCAGGAGGACGACGATTCTGAAGATGAAGAGAACAGCCATGATTTCAGCAAATCTGTTTGCCACGCCATCGAAGCAGCGGAGACAGACTTGATTCTGACGACAGAGCTTCATAAGATCCAGGAGGAGCTTCCTGCAGCCCATGATCCAACAGATGAAGCTGAAGATGTCAATCTGAACTGTGGCAGTGAGAGTGAGATCGAGACAACAGAGCCGCCTGCGAAGAAAGAAAAGACAGGAGCCATCCCCAAAACATTACATGATGTTTTGGAATTCAGTGAATTGGCTAACTTTGATCCTGGAAAGAAGGACAGCGAATCTTTGAGGAGACAGCGACTTGCTGCTTTGAATCCACATATGAGAGCCTTTTCATCTTATGCTAGATGTGCTGAAGGAATCTTGAGCAAGGCTGTGATAGCAGGTCATCGGCGAAAGGCACATGAACAATGGATCTTTGAAAAGGAGCTCGCCCTTGCTCGTGCAGAATATCAGTGTTCTGCCCAGAGGCAGAGTCGTCACAGCCTGTGGGCACAATACTCCGAGCGTGTCCACAAGGTTGTGAGTTCCATGGCAGAGAACGGGGATGAAGAAGCCGCCAAAGCTGCTGTGGAATGTAAGATCCTCACACCAATGTCCTTTACGAATGATTCTGGATGCAGAGCATGTCAACTTTTGGTTGTTCGCCCGATGAAATCAGGATCCTTGAAGCTGGGAGTGATATCAACCCTGTGGCGAGGTGGAAAGGACAAGAAAAGGTCCAAACAATACATTTGGTCTGAGCGCTCCTTGCCACAGTATGCTGCTACCATGATGCACATCAAGTTGTTGCTCCCTGCAGGTGAGCAAGATGAAAACAAATGGGAGTTGCTCACAGCCGATAGCTTCTCTCCTGTTGTGGCCTTGGACCCATCAGATGACGGATCCCTCATCATGGAAATTCCTCAGTCGCGTTTCAAACACTCCTTTGAGGATAGATGCCTGAAGGTTTGGATTTCCAAATCGTCCATCAAAGCAATTGCCAAGATCTATGAATCATCCATTCCATTTGAGGTCAAGAAGAAAGGCTCCGAGGATGTTATGTCGAAAACATACTTCACCGAGAATGATTTCCAGCGCAATCAGGCTGGCGTCAAGAACCTGACTAGGTACATGGCTCAAATGCGGCGGGACTTTGAGACCCACTTTCATGAATTGGTCTCAGAATCAGGCTTGGTCAGACTCCGCAAAGACACCAAGGTCTCATGGGAGGAATTGGTTGCTCGGGTGCCATCGTACTTCAAACGGTATTGCCGCAACAGCTCGCATTGGAAAGAGATGTCGAAAGAATCTCAATCCAAGTCGTTTCCTGCTGTGATTTTGTATTGTTTTCTTTATTATTCAGACAGACCACCACATGTAGGCAACCCTGGGAATAGTTCTTTTTCCCTGACCTTTGTGAGGGTTGTGGTATTTTTAAAAAAAAACACAATACATGAGAACACATACAACAAATATTCCATCAGATTATCGCTAGTGCAATACCTTCAGAATACTTTTTGGGGCAATACTAGATGCTCATATATTTTACTAAATTCATTATTATCTAAATATTCTAAAGGATTATCACTAGTGTAAGACCTTCAGAATATTTTTTTTCACCATACTATATGGTTTTAATATATATATATATGTTTTTTTGTTTTTATCAGGATAATGTTTATCTCAGGTACGGAAGGCTGGTCCAGCTGGAGCTGCAGAGTGTTTCACCAATGGTTGGGCAAGATCCCAAAAGATTTTTGCGTTGGCTGCTGAAGGTGTACAGTGAAAGTGAAGCGCCACTCGTAACAGAAGGAGACGTGTGAGCCAGAGCCAGAGAAATCTAGCGAAAGAATACCTTTTATTATGTTTGCACTTTGTAATCTATGAGCTAACAAAGACAAAGAACTCCTTGGCAGGCGCATGCGGGTTCCGTCGCCTCAGGCTACTTTAGATCCAAAAGGGGTCATCATTCCAAGGACAAAGACAGACTTAGAAGGCTCAAAGCTTTGGGAAAACCATAAGTGCTCAATCTCATGGCTTGCTGTGCGTCACTTTGTCACGAGTTTGTAGTTCTGGCTTTTGTTTTTTGAAGTATTGACGAGTAGATTGAACAATGTTCCTTTGTTGTCACATGTTTTCAGCTTCTGAGGTTTTGTTGATTTGTTGTTTTTTTCTTCTGGAGTTGTGACCCTTAGATGTTGAAGTGATTCAAGAATGACACTAAATTATGATAGTGTTCATGTTCCTGTGTGTTGACCATATATGAGTTTCTAACGGTTTTGAATTAGATTGTTATGTTGTTTTTGTTTTTGTTCTTGCTTTGACATCATGAGTTCTTGGTGAGGTTCAAAAACCATAGTTAAATAATAACTATCTTGATGATCTCTCTTGTGGCAACCTTAAGTTTCTAACGACAAAATTGATTGTGTTTGTTATTCATATTATGGTTTTTCTTTGTTGGATGATCTCGAGTCTTTGAACACACGACAAAATTCAATGTTGATTTTGTTTGTGTTCATGTTCCTGTGCCTTGGTTGTCTATAATTTTCTTAAATTAAAGCTATAATCTCTCTCCAAGTGTGTGTCTTTTTTGGCCAGATTGTTGATCCTAAGTGTTTAATGCCACTAGAAAATTGTTTCATTTCATGACAGCACTAATGTCACATTGTTTTGGTATACCTTATTTTTTATTTTTATTTTTATGTGTTTGTTTTATTTTATGTTATTTTTCTTAATTTATAAATATTATATGTTTTTTTGAATACCTATTGTTTTTTGTGTTTTGTATTCATATAACTTGTAATTATTCCAAACAGTGGTGACATGCTTGAATAATTTATATATTTAATGTGGAGGTATCTTGGAATAATTTCATTATTATTCTGAGGTATGTAGACATGGCGGTACTCTCAAGGTACCATATATGATGAGGCCCTAGATCAGAAAAAACCACCTGCCGATTGATTTGTGTTGTGTTTTCTCCAGATTTCTCCAGATCAAGATCCTACAGTCACAGTATGTCCATCACTGGGTTTGAGCACCTGCTGACGGGTTATCGGGGTGGGGTGCCAGTGTGCCCACTGTGCAGCGCAGCTAGACCTAGGAAAGCCATCCTGATTCCATGTGCTTCTCGGTTGCGAACACCGACATTGGTTGCACCCCATGCGACGGTGATGTGATGTGGGAAACTCGTCGTTCCGACTCAACAGACTTGGGTGTGAGTTTTGAACTGGGTGACCCCAGTTAAGCCAACCTGGCACAAATTAGGTTCAGTCCAGTTGGGGGGACCTCCCAAATTGGAATGCAATGGTCACCAGATGTGCGAGCCTCTCTGAGAGGCCGATTTGCAGCGGCTCATCGACATGGCCAACGCGCCCATGTTCAGTATCGATATCCACGGGCGCGTCCCGAGCTAAGTGGATCGGGTTTGTTTCGGTGTTAGGCTTATTTTTGGAGACAAGCTCAGGCTGCACAGACATTGTAAGCATCCGTATCCCGAAGGCGAAGAGTATTTATAGCATTGCAAGTTGATTTGCAAGGTGCTAAGCAGACAACAGCTGAGTGGCCGCAAAAACGGAGCCAGCGCCAGAGGATAAGACCAACTCCAAAGCAGACCAAGACCACCAAGACCTGCTTCTTTCCACGATCCGAAGGTCTCAGACTGGAACTGGAAGATCGCCACTTTGACAGGCTTCCAGAAGGAGGAGGTGCGTCCACCACCAGCCCCTCCGGGCCCCGCCTTTCGCCGCAGATCAGCTGAGTTGGTGTATGCGAGGAGTGGTGCACTCGCCCAAATGGATACTTGCAGCTAATGACAGGTTCCACCACAACAGCAGGGGCGGTAGATGGAGGGTCTATGATAGTCCACGGGCCTTCCCAGGATGTAGAGACATGAGAGACATGACTCATGACCCTGGTTGCACCATGCCACATGCCCCTGGTGAATGAGAACATTTTACAGTTGGTTGCTGAGATGGCATCGTTTGCCATGGGGTGCCACGCAACTTCAACCGCCTTTAGTAGATGGAAAGATGAGCAGGGTTTTCGGTCCATCGCAATAGCCTCCTGCATTGGGGATCCATGGGTGAAAGGAGCTTCTTCCTGCAGAAAGGGCTGCTCGGGCTGCTCTTTATCCGGCAAAAATTGAAGTGGAAGGAAACACTGCCCTGACTTTTGCCCAACTTTAACCAACAGGCTCCGTGTTTTCCCCACTGACTCAGAGAAGAGATGAGAAAGGCAAGAGAGAGAGAGGGAGAGAGGGAGTGCAGCTTTTACCGCTTCTGTATTTGTTGCGCTGCCCTTTCGGCCCAGTGTGTGCTGAGTCTATTCAATGTGAAGCCATGAAGTGCCGAGCTGAGCTGGGAGTCAAGCGTTCTTTCGGGTAAAGGAATCCACTCGTCAAATACACAAAGAACAAACTGATCCCTTGATCTTGACAAGTGGAGCACGGGTGTGAGTCATTTCGAAATACATACAGGCAGGTATGAAGTAAGTGAACACAATGAATCCAAAGGCAGGTGGAGCTGGATGGATGGATGGATGGGTGGGTGGATGGATGGCTGGATGGATGGATGGGTGGGTGGGTGGGTGGATGGCTGGACGGATGGATGGATGGATGGATGGATGGAAGTGGACAATAGTTTGAAGCCAAGGCAACTCTAGAGGGAGCTTGATGCAGCCGAAGAGATACAAGGGCTTGATGACCTGTGCAGAACCCCCTACGCACGCAAAAGAGCCCCTTTTTTTGCCAAAGTCCGGGCAACAAAAATGGCTGCCAAGCTGTTACACAAGTAAATTGCAGTACAGGTCGGTATTTCACACAGCATGATGTGGCTGGTGTCTTTGAACATGTTAACTTTGAATCAACCAACACCTGTGATGATTAATTAATCAGAATGCCTTATTTTTTCAGGATGTTCCTTGCTGAGGTGACTGCAGTGTGTCTGCAAGGCCTGGACTTCCCGCGGGTTTTGGGGGGAAGCCAGGCGCCTGCATGGGCCCAGTCCAGGGTGATCCAGGGCGTTGGGTGATCCAGGACCCACGCGGGTGGAGCATCCCAACTCGTTGACATTCGTTGACGATAGGAGTCCGAAGAACATGGGCTTCACGCTCCTTGGAGTTGCATCAATCGATGTTCCAGCCATTTCTGGGTGGTTGGCCCACATTTGGGTGGTGAATCGTCACTCCAAACTCCAAACATGCAGGAGTTGCTGATTATTGATTTGTTGAACTCCTTTGAGGAATCGCTCCTCTTCGAAAAGTGTCTCATGGAACCGCCCGTTGAAACATGCGAATGTGGCAATGGGAGGAGGAACCTCCGCACGTCATTGCAGCAGCACCATTCAGCAACATCAGCAACCAGGTTATACCATACAGCACCAGGACCGTGCTTCCACATCACATCGGGCACCGAAACCAGCAGCACCCAGGTTCCACATCGGTGAGCTTCGGGTCTTCTTCCCTTATGACACCATCTACCCGGAGCAGTGGCCAGTCCCGGAGCAGTCGCACGGAGTAGTTGGCCCCACATCGCGGAAGCGCGGTGGAAGCTGCTCCGTGGTTGGCTGTGAAGATCCTGGTGTTTGGGCAACAGAGGATTCTTATTGTAAGCCCCCATGTGAAGAGGTTTTTGATGGTTCTTGCCATCCAAATGTGGGGACAACCCACTCATATGAGCAGCTGGGAATAGCTGGGACAAGCCAAACCCACAGGACCCTAGGATTTTTCTGGTCCACCATTGAGTCCACCATTATGATTTACTGTAGTAGCTCCGAACAACAATTGTTTGACAAAAGGGTTTTATATACAATGGTTTTACAGTTTTACACTACAACACCAGGTCAACACTTTTGTTTCAAAAGACCATGGAAGGCTGCCGGGTCTGGAGTCTTGATACTCCGAAACTCCGGACTGACCTTAGGCTCAGTCTACTCCGGTCCTTCTATATGGAAGAACTTCTCAGTGATTGTGGTGAAGTCAGTTCAGTCTCAGCCTGCCCAACTCTTTCAGAATATGAGTCACGGAATATCGTAAAGCAAAAGTTCTTGAAGGCTCCTCACATGTTTTCACCCCGAGTGCATCCGAAAGCCCGAAAGCAAAAAAACTCTGCACATTTCACACACATCCTCGGGCCATGCTGAGGTACCGATACATGTGCGAGCTCAAGCGAGCGTTGGATGCCAAAGGCAACAGCGTCCTTGAAATGCCCACAGGAACAGGCCACTGGTCGAGCGCTCTTTTCTTCGTTACAAGATGCGGCAATGTGAGGCTCCTCCACGCAATCTGAGGGAGTTAGGTCGGTGCTCCTCCCCAAGAAGTTTGACCACCAACCAAAGATTAGTTGGACGTTCTGTTGTGCATTCATTGGAGATATGTAGGTGATATCAACTTTTCCTGAGTAGACCAATTATCAATAGAAACAATGTTAAACATATCTTTGTATCACTTTGTCACTGTGTTTGTATAACATATCTAATGTATATATATATATACCGTAATTAAGGTCATTGATTTTGCAGCCACTTAAGGAAGGTGATTTTTGCGCATGACGGAACATTTGGCACCGTTGATTGATGAGAAACTATTGCAGTTTCAGAATGTCCATTATTCAACTATTCAGTGTGCAAGACCGGTATGATGTAGTAAGGACACTACTGTTGATGAACAAACTCCTGCATGGATGACATTGCACTAGTCACTATTCCCAGAAGAGATTCACACTTTGGAACGGCAGTTTGCTGGCCACTTCAGGCAAGACCGTGACACTCTTTTCTTTGATCACCTCGCCTCTCGGCTATGTTTGATGTATGTATATATAGATATATACATAGCATGAATGCACGGAATAGCCTGATTAATATAGACCATGACTTGTTGATTTTGATGTGAGATAATAGAGCATTTGATGTCTATTCACCTGTTTTGTTGCCTGTCGTTGTTTTGTGCCGTGTTTGTTCGTACTCCTTCAATGACCTTTTAGCACTTTCACGGGGTTGGCTTCCCTGCCAACTCATATATGAGCAGCTGGGACATGGCCAACCCTATAGGATTCCTGGCCCAACCATTCATTTAATAGCCTGACCCCGAACAGCCGACCAACCATAGTTTTACGAAAGGGTTTTACTCTGCTTAAAACTATAAATATATATATATATAATAGTCCAACCTTTCTTTCAATATCTTTCAATGATCGACCGGAAGGCTAGGGTAAACCATGTCCACATGTTCTTGTCCGACCAAACAGGATGCGAGCCAGGTACCAGTGGGCGCATCCTGAACTTGGGCGCTTGGTCTACTGCACCCGAACCGTGCCCGAGATGAGCAAAGCAGTGGAGGAACTACGGAAGGTGCCCGAACTCGTTTGCGCGCGCGGTTTGGGTGAGTCTTGGCCTTTTCTTGGGCTGTAGGCCTGTAAAGAGTGGTCGACCTGGTGAAGTTCAAAGTCTTCATAGAGTGCTGGTAGAGTAATCATGCAGCTTAAATTACTTATATATATGTGCAAAAGCTGGTGCCTTAAAAACATACCAATTGGAGAAAAAGTGCTTTTCGCCTTGTTGACCAGGTCATCGACTTTCGCGTGGAGGTCCTGGCCAAAGAGTTGGATGCTGGTGGCCTGGCTGAGTGGTTGGATGCTGCGTGCTGCCATGTGCTCTTGCTTTTAGAAATCAGGTATATAGATGCACAAACTGACCAGAACAAACATGAACAAATTCCCTGGAAACCTGAGGGGTTGGACCTTTGGAAGGTTTGGAAGACTATCATGCGGATGGGAACTATAAGTTGCTGCCTTCCTCTAACATCAACCCTGGGAAGATCACTTTCCCCTGCAAGCAGGGCCGTTTTCCACTTGTATGATTGGAGACGATGAGCTGTTGTTGAGTGCTGGTACATGGCTGTAGGTCAAAAAGTGGGAGCCTCGCAACCCCCAATGGATCCCAATGATAAAGCACCTGATATGAAGAAATGCCTGTATACAATTTGTGGAAACATGTGGAAACCCTCAGCCTTCCTTCCTTTGAGCCACGCCTCATACGTTTTTTTGTTCTTGCTCTTCAGGAAGTGAAGCACCCAAGGGCCTCGCTGCCGGTCACATCTTAGCAGCTGCTTGGAACAGAAGCTCAGTATGTAGTATAGTATAGACAAGTGATGACCCGTGGTTTCAGACGGGCAGTATAGACCTTCCAAGAACGAAGATGCTTGCAGGTTTGGGGGACCAAGTGAAACCACCCACCCCACTTTGTAAACAGAGAGTGCGAGGATGTGCGAGGCATTGAGAACAAAGGGACTTCGGAATGATTTTCAAGCACAGTTGGTGCGGTTGACTGTAGCATTTCGCCAGTCATTTCGCCTTTGGAATGCTCTGCCAGATCAGCGGTTCAGCAGTTCGGTACGGGAGAAGGAGTTCCTCAAAGCCAGCTTAGACCCGGCACCGGCGGAGAGAGAGAGGCCTTCACAACTCCTATACTTGCAGTATTTTGCAGTGTTTGGGGTTCGACCTCATCGCGTGCCAAAACTCCGGGGCTCGACCTCATCCAGCCGTTCGGATCAATCAATGGAGATATCGGGCCATTCCAAAAGGTGACCCAATGACAAGGAGGGCCACCGCATGTTGGGTTCCTGGATGGGGCGCATGCCTAAGGAGTCCCAGGCCACGCCACGAAGCTCACCGCCACGCCACGCCACGACGTCTACCCCATGCGTCGTACATCCGCCCCCCATCCACTTCGCATCCGTTGCAGGCAGCTGCTTTTGGGTCTTCTCCGGTCGAGACGGAGAGACCGCGAATCATCTAAGGTGGGCCTGAGCGCACGCCGAAATATGTGTGTGCATCCGGAGGTGAGCAAGGAAGGCGACCGAGAGCGGGTGGACGAGTCGCTCGGCGGGGTTTCCAGCTTTTTCCGGACTGTCCGGGCGCGGAGGTGGGGGGCTGTGATTCTTCGAGACCGTTTTTGGGTTCGAACAGATTGGGGGGATGGAAAAAGACGTGGTTTATTTTTAAAGGAGGACTTATCATGCAAATAGGGAGCCGGAATGCATTCTTTTTCGCGCATATGTTTTTATTTGGGCAGTGATGTGAGGATCCAACATTGGAGAGACCGAGGATCCACCAGGCTTAGCCGCTGCTTAGGGGCTTACACCAATTGGGGACCATCTCTCTCAAACCACAAAATGAGCAATGTCTGTCATCAGGAATACACCACGTGAAGCACTCGGAACAGGCATAGCAGATGCCATACCGCGTTGACTACTGAATACTGCAAATGATGTGCTACTATCCACACAGGTCAAGGGCCGTTTTAGCGTTTTCATTGGATTTGATGTTGCGGATGCAGAAGCAAACTCATTTTCATTCGTTACCGAGGAGTGTGCGTGTGCGTGCGTGCGTGCGTGCGTGCGTGCGTGCGTGCGTGCGTGCGTGTGTGTGTGTGTGTGTTTTAGTATTTTTGCCATGCCAGATTGGACGTCCGGCGCCAGAGATGATCCTAACAACCCGTTATATTTCTACTAGACTAGAACTCCACCATGGAATGAACCAAACACTCCGCCAACCAGCATAGCCTTTTCCAGAGGAAAGATGATTATATAGCTCAATTGGGAGGGTCTCTTTCCCTCAACATAGTTTGGTGCAAGCAGACCACCAACTTTCAAGCATACTCGTTCAATCGGTTTGATGTACACTTCTTTCGACGATACGCAGAAACGTTTGCCCAGCTGGGGTTGAGGATGTGTCGGCAGCTGACAGCCCCCTGGACCAGAGAAAAGAAGACCGCAACTTGGTTTTGCTGATGTGATGTGTCTTTTCCTGAACTGAGTGAATCCCCTGGCATGGGGAAAAGGAGGGAATATAGTAGGTGATTACACAGCTGTCAAGACAGTAGCCTAACCCATTGTCGGAGGTAGCTCTGAAAATGTCAAGACCATGGAACCCACTATATATATAATTGCCAGCATTCACAGTCACCAGACGGGGTGCGAAGGAGACTCAATACCACCCCGACGGGGTGACTCCGCCAAGGCCAGCTGCGTCCATTTCGAGAAGTCCGGTCACCCAGCCGGGCAAAGGGCGCGCCCTGACACCGTGACCGCCGAAGAGACCCCAGATGGAACCTGAAAACCGCTTATATGAATGATCTGGAGGAAGCTAGTCTTCCGGAGGTCCATTTTCAGATATGTTTTAATTCCATGTTGACCTTCCTGATTATAGCATATATGTTATACCTGCTTTCTTTACAGGTTGGTTGGGGAAACACATCGTTTTTGGGGCAGGCGGAGGACCTGCTTTCTAGTGCGGCACTTCTTCGATTTTGTGAAGATAATGGAAAACTGAACCACGGTGACTTTCCTAAAACAAAAACCGTGGTCAATCGGCGCAGGATTTTTTTACAACAAGTTTCAACACTTTTTGTCGGATTTGTTGCATCACTGCCGGTCCAATGTGGCATGCAGACCCATGAAACGGCAGTCATGTTCAGTACGAAATCAGTTGAGTTTCAGACAGCACTTCTACATGCCCTTGTTACTTTCGAGATATTCTGATTTTAGCTGAACAACCTGGCGTTGGCAACCTAATGTTGACCGTTGACAAATTACCTCCCCCACCCATACTAGATGCTTAACACATCACCATATGGGGAGTATTATGAATCAACCGTCAACATTCAGAAGTTATTACACAATTCTGACAATCGAAACTCACGGTTTGGTCCCCTTGCGCAACGAAAGAAAGAAGCCATATTGGATTCGTGCGAGCTGGTTCGCCCCTCAAAACTGGAGAAGAGTGATGAAGCTGCAGATCACCCTTGTTGGGATTTTGTTGGGGAGTTGCTGATTCCCCACTGGACATGCAGTCGTAGCCCGGGGCTTTGTGCGGGCGCTTTTGGCGGGCACGAAAGTGAAAGGCTTGGAGGAACGTGCAGTGTTTTCTTTTTTGTGTCCGTCGACCTTACTTCATTGTATTTCATTTTAAGAAAATGATTGGGGTTATTCCCCACCTGCCAGGTGAGGGTTGTTAGATTTTATTTGAGCTCTACTCCTCCTCCTTCTTCTTCTGCTTCTCCTTCTCATCCTCCTCGCCATCTCCTCGCCAACTCTTGATTGCAGTGGGCACTACCGGACCTCAACCACAAGTGGGCACTACCGGACCTTAACCACAAGCTCGCAATCGCAGTGGGCATTGCCGGACTCACAACCCCCAGCTCCTGATTGCAGTGGGCATTGCCCGACCTCAACCGGCAGTGGGAACTACCGGACCTCAACCACAAGTGGGCACTACCGGACCTCAACCACAAGCTCGCGATCGCAGTGGGCACTGCCGGACCTCAACCGCCAGCTCCCGATCGCAGTGGGCATTGACCGGACCTCAACCGGCAGCGTCCGAGTCCAGTGGGCACCACCGGACTTCAACTACTAGATAAGAATGCCAGACAGAATGTCAGATAGAATGCCAGATAGAATGTCAGATAGAATGTCAGACAGCACGCCAGAAAGAATGTCAGATAGAATGTGCCAGATAGAGTGGTAGATAGAATGGCAGAGAGAATATATCAGATAGAGTGCCAGATAGAATGCCAGACAGAGTGCGTGATAGAACAATATGCCAGATACAATATAGTATGCAGATCTTGGAACGTGCTTATATGGCTTTACTCATCTATTTGTTTATCTGCCTTGTGGACAACAAATGTGCTGGTTTGCATCAACAAGTGCATGTCATATTTTTTGAAATATAGTTACATATAGTTATCGAAGTAAAACAATTTTGCTGTGCACAGTGTTTTCTTTTAAATAAATAAATACATAAACTTTTAAAACAAATATATACAAACCCTAACTAATGAATTAATATTAACATATATAAGACTTTACAGTATAGGACCTTATTATTGTATATACTAAATGGTATGAATGACGCAACCATGGAAAAAAACAGTTCAGGAGCAGTTGCCACCTTCCTGCACGGGCGGAGGTACGAAAGTGCCTTGGGTCAACAGTCACAATTGCTGGACACAGGCACTGGGGCGGAGGGGGTTTGCTTGATGTTTCTTCGGATTTTTTTGGTGGGGCAACATCTCAGTGTCATTGTTTTTTCCTATTGCATGAATTTCCTTGATTCGTAAGCTTGGTTGAATTGCTCAAGATGTTTGATCGGTTTTGGAGTGAAGAATTCCCTTGGTAGACTTGTTTTTCCATCATAAAGGATTCAAACTACTACTGCGCAGTGCGCAGCTTTGTCGGTGGCTAGCTCTTCATGACACTACGCGTGTGCCTCAGACACAGCCGCACACGCAGCTAGGCATCTACACCATCGAAGACTTGAGGGTGAAAGGGATGGACAAGTGCCCGGGATCGCAAGAAACGAAGGTGTCAAGCCCTCCAATCCCAGTACATAAACAACCCCATGATGAAAGGCGTTCTTTGTGGGCCTAGGCGTCAGCCAGTGGCATACCCTACCCTACAATAGACAGCTTCACAAGTAGACAAACAGAAATATATTGTCTAGTAGTGACGTGTGAATCTCCACGCATTGGTGCCTCAACGGTTCTTGAACAATACAAGCCAAGCTGGAGTTGTGTGACCAAGAGGTGTAAGTCATCAATGCGGACCGCGGAACAGGCATCCGCCCACCATGCCGACTTGAGCGAGCTTGAGTGACAACTCAGCTCACACAGCATCTCAGGGAGTATGGCTGGTGCCCCTACTATGCTGCCCGCCGTCTTATTCAAGCATCGAGTGTCGTGGTTCTCAACTATCAGCAACTGGACAGCAGCCATGGAGAAAGAATCTGGCACTTCGTGCGCGCTACTGCATTTCCACGTGCAACTGCATTTCCACGTGCACATGTATACAGTAGAACTTACATGGATGTACAATTTACACATAGACTCGCAAAGTGTTACCGGTGGGCATCCTTCAGTTATTTTGGGTTTGTGGTTGAGTGCTACAGGATGTTTGCATCCCGTGCGTTTTGCAAATATCTCAGTGGTGGAGCACCCTCGGTGGCTTGATTGTCGAAGAAGTGTTCCTTTGTAAACAAATCACGTGTTCTTTTGGTGTCCCAGAGTTCGGCAAGTTCAGTGTAGCAAGTTCCTGCTTTTGTAACAAGACATGGTTTAGCGCTGCAAAATGAATTGCTATGAATCATGCTGGATTCTGCACTGTGGGCCTTTTCCCTTCAGTTCGCTAGACCGGCTTCAGGGTCTCAAAGCAGGCGCTCAAAATAAGAAGCTGTCTTGTGGCAGTCGCACCCCTGTCTTTCTTTATATAGTCAAGATCTCAGATCCTCCCCAAATCATCCAAAATCTTCTTGGCCACAGGCCAAATATGTCAAAATCATGCCTAAAATCACATTCTCTTGAACCGATGTTTGATTACTTCCCGCTCTCAGGTACGTGCTGGATCCCAAAGTTTCCTTAGCCTCATCTCTTGGGGGCGCCCCCAGCTTGCCTGGCGGCAAGATGCGGGCAGGCGCGTACGCAGGAATGCGGTAGGAAGGCCGCAGGTCGGGCAGGTGAGGCCATGGCCAATGGCGGTTTTCATGGCGAATCATGACGAGCAACATAGAGCAATGATATGCCTTGGATAGCGGATTAAGAATCCGGCTTCTGGGTCAACCCGGCTCGCCAGTGCGTGGTCGATGTGGATGAACATCATGTGGAGCCATGACCCAAGGCATCTTTTTCTTATGTTTTCTTCGGACTCGCTGGGAGAGAGGATTGCGTTCGTTTGATTAATCCACTCAGTTGATTCTTCGAGTACATCGATGCCATTCGATGCCTCAGCCTTTATAGGGTCCCCCGCGTAGCGCCGAGTCAACAGTCAACCCCTGATGGTTTTGTGGGGATGACAGCCATCCAAGCTTCGTCCAGTAGACGGGATTTACGAGAACGTAATAACGTAACCACCACCAGCACACCACCAGCACGCTTCGGGGTGCCAATTGGTGGGTCTCAAAGGGGTCTAAACACCACCCATGTTGGCCACAGCGGCCACAGATCATGAGTTGAGTTTTTTGTTGCACGTTCTTTTGCGACGTGGTGTAGCTGCTAGGCGGATTGAGTTCCATTGAGCCCAGCATCGTGGTCTTTGATGAGGCCGTGCTCCGTGCCCCGCCGTACCCCATGTACCGCTCATAAGTATCCACCACCCCCAAGTGGAACGGGCGCCGTAGGAGTATTTGTAAGGTAGAATGTTGATTGATACCCCCCCCACAGTCCCCCCCACTACATTGCGACACCTGGGGGCTTTATTGATCAAGAGACTACATTATATGTTCATTTGAGGGACCAACAAAAACACCGACACAGACCAAGAAAGTGGGTGACTCACAGCAAGGTTTTTCAACACCCCGTGGCATGGGAGAGGAGGTCATACAAGCCACAAGCAAGGTTGTTTCAAGGCAGTGTGCCTGTGCCACAGTGGGTGCAGCGTACTCTGTGACTCTGGATTTTCCTTCAGCAGCTGCTTGGCTCAATTATGCTCAATGTCTTTCTGATCAGTGCGAGCCAACGCATTGGTTTCGCCAGTGGAATATGGCCAGCGGACCATGTTCGTCCTGCAGCAGCTCTTTTTGTTGCGGATATGGTTTGCTAAAGTGCAAGCAGTCTGAAGTTGGACAACCTCAGGATGCAGCACATCTGGACTACTTAACCCAGTGGGTCAACGCACCAGTTTAACCAGTTCTTTAGTAACGCACCAGTTTAACCGGTGCTTTAGCAAAACTGGGGCTGGAAGCTTAAAAAGGCCGTGAAAAACCCGTGAAAAGGACGTGAAAAACCCGTGAAAAGCCCGTGAAAACAGGGTGAAAGGCCGTGAAAACCTGTGAAAATTAGGTCTTGGAAGTTGGGAGGTGAAATGCGTCCTTTATGCTAACGCACCAGTTTAACCCGTCCTTTGGACTTGCTGGGTAATATGTCAACACCATTGTTTCAGCTTCCAACTTTCCTCGGCAAGTATGCGACTATTAGTCCATGCGCACTCATGGCATGCAGCCTGAGCATCACGAAGATTTCTGGGGAGACGCACCTCGGATGAGCAATGGCACTCTTTTTGCACCCCAGCCCGCGGGCTGCGAAGAATCTTAGGTCTCATCAGGTGGCCTTCGAAGATTCCTGAATTGATCTCTTTTGGAAGGTTTTTTTGGGGCTCCTATGAGACGGGACGGGACAAAGCTGCGACTGGCTCGCAGAGATGAGGAGACGCGTGACTGATTCATGCATCGTAGAGGCCGTGGTATATGTGGCACAGTATGTATAGACGCAGACGCACACGGTATACGTGGCCGTGGTCACCCAGGTACACCTGCGCAGCTGAAGAGGATGAGTTGGTTGGTGACTTGAAGGTGACCTCGCACGGGAGAAAGAGGGGTGTTCGACGGATCGCTGTGGGCTTTGGATGATTTTGGAGAGCCACGAGGGCGTACAAGCGTACACCAAGAGCGACACCAAGCGACGGCGTACAACCTGAGGAAAACATGTCCCCATGAAGGGTGGAAGGCTTTTCATTTCCCCAAAAGAGACGCTCCTCATGGTTCCTGGTTCCAGGCTTTGGCAATGAGGTGAAACTGCAGACTAGGGTCCAACAGAAAACATGGTTTGGCCACCCCTCTCATTGCACAAAGTGAGAGGGTACATGGTGGTACTTACCATGGTTGGAAGGTTCAATTATCTGAGAGACCGTAGGTGTTGCATTGGGTGTGTTGTTGTTTTTTCAGAGCAAGTTCTTTTTTGTCAACTGATTTTATGGTAGATTCATGCATGGCTTCTCGATTCAGCTTGGGGGCTGGCAGACGCCAGGCCCGCCTGGCTGAAGAGCTCAACTGCCCAGCAATTTGCCAGCGCTACCTTTACCATTTGGTGTCAGTCTCATGTGCGACGCGCATGCAGCAATCCCTGGCAAGGAGGAGCGGTTTCCGTTTTGCGGTCAGAACACTTGGAGCCGGAGGACGTGTGTAAAGGAATTCCTGATGAATGTTAAGAGATGTGAAGATATGTGAAGTACCTTTGGATTGGATGGGATTGGGGTGAAGCTCGCAGGATGGTTTTTGAAGTTACGGTAAGGCAGGACACAGGTAACGTGTGTTCCCAGGCTGGACACCGCGGGGGCGCCCGAGGGCTCGTCCTGTAGCATTTTGGTTGGCGTTCAAGTGTTCTTGTCGACCCCTTTTGCTTGTTGGCCTGTGAGCCACCGGCCTGGCAAAGTGTTTGAAAACACCGCCCACACGGCCAAAGAAGGGTTGAACGGCGTGCACCATTCGGCACTGGTCAGCCATTTGGGGTCAAGCACCACTTTGTTTTGTTGCAAATTGCCCACGAAGCGACAACATGGCCATGCTGGGACGGCTTGTGGTTGGCTTGAGCCTGTTCTCCAGGCAGGGCAGTATGGTAGGCTTGAGCAGGATTCAAGGTGTGTTGTTATTGAAAGATCGGAGGCATCCGCTGACAGCATAATATATTCTGTATATATTCTCAATCGATGTGGTAGATAGACTTGATGGAAGACATATGCATGCAGAGGTTTTTGATTTGTTGCTCTGGCCAATTTGTTAATCAGCAGATTTCTTGGATTTGGAACGGTCTGCTGTGAATGAGACTCTTTTGTGAACAAGTTTCTTAGTCTTAAGTCTAATTCGACTGAGACGGCATGTTACGACCAGCCTTGGCCAAGGCTTACAGTAGGACCCCTTTGGCCATGTGAGATTGAGTTCGTCATGTATGCTCCAGCTACTTGCAAAAAATGTGTTTTGCCTACCTACTTGTGAGCACTGGGGACCAAGGACATGCATGGCTGCAGCTTGCGGCGGCAATGATGCACAGATTTGGTCACAGAAAGGGTCCGCAGCCTTCTCAAGCGACATGGAGACTTGCGGTCGGCAATGCGCCTCTGGCAAAACAATCCCTGCTGACCGGACATCTTGACATGAACTGCCCCAGTATAGCCTGTGGCACGGCCGGCACGGCCGGTTGGGAGACCGCTCCCACCTCGCCAGCAACGTTTCAGCAATGACACAATCTCCTCTAAGCCTCGAACTGCGCGATTCCTGCACAGCGAGATATCGTGAAATCCTCCCAAGGGAGGGCGAGAGAGAGAGAGAGGGGTGGCTTTAAGAGATGATGAGAGATGGCCCTTTAGAACTTCAACTTGGTAGCCAAGCTCACATATATGAGAGAGGTTTGGCCAAACCGTGTTTGGCCAAGCTGTTATAATAGACTATAGACCTCGTGGCAGGGAAACCAAGTTAAACAACCAGACGTGTCAGAGAGAGAGAGAGAGATGGCTTCAAAGGCCCACTGTGAGTAGATGAAGTGTTGTTTCTCCCTTTTTGAGCCGTCTTCAACCACGAAAAAGCGGGTCCACACTTCCAAGGTGCCCTGGCGTCCACTTCCTGCGCCAGTGACTGCGTGAAAGGCAAGGAAGGGTACAGTGACCCTTGGTATCGAATAGTGATCGCTTTAGATAGATGGCATCCCAGTGGCCCAGTCGATGTGAATCGAGGAATCCAGAAACGATTCGACCTCTCGTGAGACCTCAGATGCCGAATGTTCTGGGGTTTTCGCCTGCGACACTAACCGGGGCCCCGCGCGAAACCACCAGTTTTACAATGTTTTACGGTTTGGAAGATGTTTTACATGTTGCGCAAGTAATTAGACATTATATGACGTTGTACACATGCGAGGGCCTCCGGTTTAGCTTCGGAGGAGGCATGCAGGGGGTGGCGGCATAATGTATACGATTGCACGGAGCCGCTTCACACACAGCCGCAAACCTGCAGCATGCTACCGAACTGCATCTTTCGTTGTCTCGTTCTCTTGTTGCGTTGAAGCCGGTACTTTTCCGCTTTCAAGGACCACCCTGTGTTGAAGCACTTTCAATCGATCCGTGGGTTTGGACTCTGCCTTGGACCTTTTCACTCAACCATCTGACCCTTTGATCTGATTGACTTCGTTTACCATCGTGGACACAGGCCCGTTGGACGGGGAGGGGCTAGGTAGTTGCTGTGGGCACTTGTGATCAATTTAGGCTTCGCGCTGCACGTCCGTACTTCGGAGACGTTCCCCAGCGGCCCTGGCGCACCACGTGCTTTTTAGACTGGCATACAAAACCAATAACGTGACCTCTTGAGAGTCTATATCGAAAGCCACAGAAACCAACGTTTTTACAACTTTGCACTTGATGTCTTCCAATGAAACGTTCGTTTCGTGCGGGGCCCCGGTTGGTGTCGATGCCTTGTTTTCGTAGACCAGGACAGCATTTGTTTGCATTGGTGGTCATCGGATGTCATCGGAAACTCAATATATTACCTGAAAAGGAGCAGCATCTTTTTTCAAACGATCCAAAGACCCGCCAATGGATACAATATGATACAATGATACGCAAGATGTCATGCAATGATGCTTTTTGCAAATGAAGAAACAGCGGATCAACCAGTCCGGAGCAACACTCTTTAAGCCATTTTGGGGCCCTTGCGGCCCCTACTCATATGGTCAGCCATGGACAGGGTGGACTTGGCGGAGGACTCCAATGAGGACCACCTGCAGATGGGGGGCTTCGAGGCCTACAGGACATGGCATCAAGCTTGAGGGAGATTTCCAGCAAGAGAGCTGAAGACATGCTGGGCGGGAATCACCGCTCATGGAGGTGGACGCGACTTCCCAAAGACTGCACCAGCCCTGCGGGAGGTGAGAGGAGATGATAGGAGTGGAGGAAATCAGTGAAGATGCCCATGGAGTGATCTTGGGCGAAGTGCAAAGTCCGACTACGAAGTGCCAAGCACGTTGAAGAGTATCATGGGAGAACGAATTTGCGGGCCTTGGTGCTGAAGAGAGGAGCTCAAGTGATGGACACGGACTTCCTGAACGAGGAGTTAAGGAGGCCGTCACAGATGATGGCAGTCGACGAGGTGAAAGTCGAGAATGTGCAAAAGCCAGACACAGGAGCTTCAAAGGATCAAAAGAGGGTATGGGTGGTCGTGATCAGCGGGGCAAGGGAGTCCTGCAAAGCCGCAGATTTGCTCGTCCAGTGGCGAATCAGTGCTCGAGGACATCTTTGCGAAGAAGAAGAAGAAAAGAAGAAGAAGAAGAAGAACGACACGCTT